AGGGTTGGTATTATTTATATCATTACGATAAAGAAATGGTGGAAGAAGAATGGTATGAAACTACTAGAATGGTTGCGAAACATACCGAAAAAGAAAATATAGAAAAAGTTTATTCGCACACAAATCCTTTTATAAGAAATTTTATCAGACGATCTATTAAAGGAGGAAGAGTTTCGGCAAATAGAAAATCATTTGAAACGAACAAAATGGATGAAATTTGTAACGTATTAAAGGAATATACAGAACTTGAAAGTAATAACATAATTGATTTATTCAAAGAATACAGCGCAAGCACAAAAGACAAAACGGAGGTTCATTCGAGACTTAAAAAAATAGAATGTACTAAGCTAATGGCATTTGATGCTAACGGTTTATACGCTTCCGCCATGTCGGATTTAGACAGTGAATATCCGAGAGCGGAAAGTGGAAGACCGTTTCTACCAGAAGAAAAAAAAGAATTTGTAAAACTCTTCAATAAACAAAAATTCAGACCTAGAACAGCTATTTTAACAGTGTGGTTTGACTATCCCAAAAACCTGTTCTTCCAACCGATACCAGCTAAAGATAAAATCACTTTCACGAATAAAGAAGGTAAAAAGCAAACTGGTAACAAAATCAGGTTCAGAAATGGTTTCTGTCACGACGTTTTAACATCGGTCGATATTCAAGAAATAGTGAAAGCCGGTAGACGAATTATTAGAATATTAGATGGTATAGTTTACGAAGAAAATTTTAAAACTCCACCCTATAGAGGTTATATTTTAATTTTGAGAGATTTAAGAAATAAATATAAACGAGAAGGTAATATCGTGGGTAGTAATTGCATGAAATTATTAGGTAATTCCTTGTATGGTAAATCAATTCAGAAAGACATATTCACAACTAGACATTTATGGAATGAAGCAACTTTACAGGCCAACTTTGATTCACGCGTTAAAACCTATGAGAAAATTAATGATACTCAATATATTGTAGAAACAGAAATTGAAGAAAAAGAGATTACTACCGAAGATAGTAAATCTACACGACTAACACCTAGTCATTTGGGATCATTCGTTTTATCTCACAGTAAAAAAATAATGAACAATTTCATTCACGTCATAAATGGATTTTGTAAACCCGAAATATACTATACCGACACCGATAGTTTGTACATTTCATCCAAAAATTGGAAAAAACTAAACAGAGCTGGTTTGGTCTCCGAAAAAGACTATTGCAAAGGTAAAAACGATTACGGTGACGTAGAATTATATTTGGTTTATATTTAGCACCAAAAGTCAAATACAACATCGTTTTGACTTCTGATGGTGTTTTAAAAGAAAAGAAAACGTTTAAAGGTTATTCTAATGATAAGATAAGTGTAGAAGATTACGTTCAGTTAGCAAGCGGACATGATGTGTCGAACGAATTTAATAAACCATGGGAAAAAAGTTTCACCAATGGAGTAGTTATTCCAAATGATAAACAAACTAAAGTTTTTAATATTTGAATAATGTTAAAAGAAAACCACCAAACAGTGAAGGAATTATGTAACCTTACAACGACAAAGATGAGTATAGTTTTGACGAAAACTATGAATTTGATGATTTCGATTATCTTACTATTCAAGAAGAGAATGAAGATTGTTTTAAATGAAGTTGAATGACAATTTCTTCGTTGCCAAAGTCTATGAACCTGTTTTTACCGTCTTTGATTTCCAGATTTATATCTTTGATCATGAAAGAATTGACTGGTA